TTCAAATTTCAATAATGTGAGGGTCTAGCAATTCCTCTAAAAGTAAGCATTTTATGATTAGGCCCTAAGATGTATTCAGCAGCTTAACATCATATACAGTTTAGCATTTATATAATTACAAGAACCATAGACATCAAGTAAAAAATTGGAATGATGCTAATAGATGCAATAAATGGCCTTTCATGTAAAAAAAAAAAAAAAAAAAAAAAAAAAAAAAAAAAAAAAAAAAAGGGGAAAATAAACTCTTTCCAAACTCTGAATCGGGCATATTATTTCTAAAGTATGACAAAAATGTGATTCAGCAACATTTTGAAAATAATCTTGACCTTAAATAATTGAATCTGTAAACAGCCTACTCTCATGGTTTGGTGAGTTTTTGATAGTACCAGCTTGAAAAGAAAGGATATAATTATCTATATCTGTATAGTAATTACTAGTATAATATGTTTACACTCTAACAATGTGTTATAACTATTGTTATTATGGTGATATATGACAAATAACTATGATTTATCATGTATTTGTCACAAAAATCTTTCTTTATAGAAATCAAGGTACAGTAGAAGTGTTCTAGATGTTTGAACAATAATTACTTTAAGCCCTGTTAAGGTTCTATGGGGTAAATTATTCAAATTGTTCAAATTTAACACATAAGTAGTTTATTTCTTTTAGAATACAGAGTTAGGGACACTGTACATATTGAAGTCACATTTCTGAATGCACTTCTCTAAAGTCAAAATATTTATTATGTGTCCAAATAAATTGACAAAGTTTAAGAGCAATAAAGATATTCAAAAAAGTCTTTATATATACATCCTAGTTCACTTTGCATCATTTGTCTTGCCCATCAGGTTTCCTAAAATCCTTTTATAGTATTCCTTTAGGTATTGACAATGACCATAGTAGGTAGAATAGTAGAGGTGACAATACAACTAACAGATTGACAGCTAACATTTACCTTCTATCACTCATTTATATACATTAGTTAACAACCTGACTTGAACATCCAGTACATAGCTTTACTCCTTGTCGTTTTCTATAGAGACATACTGTTAATACATTGATGTTATTACCTAGCTAATCCAGTAGTTATAGGGTCGACAGTTAGGTCAATTAAGACCCCTCTCATACAGCTATACAAGCAAGCTGAAAACTAGGTCAACTACCTGATTACATTGGAAACTTATACTTAGGTAAGGTACATTGCTAGTTTTACTTGACAATTGTCAATACTTGACGTAGATTTTCTCCAAGTGACATCTATGAATATACATGTGTATGATAATTTTTACCAAACTTAATGTTAATTAATATAAAACAGTTGGATAATTAGACCTTTTCTATAAATTTACACATTGGATGATATTCATGGTTTACAGGTAACAAGCTTTTTACTATTTTACTATATTTTGTAATGTGTATGTATACATACATACATGCATATTATATCTTCTGTATTCAAGGAAGTATTTTGCAAAGAATCTTTTTCAAAAGTTTTCTTTTTTTTCTTCATCAAAGACTACTCTAGGAATGCAAATGGAATAGAATTCTTGAGAATTTTTCCTGAAATTTTTAACTGCTAACTGTAAATGACAAGTTGTAATTGGTTGCTAGCAGCTGAAACACACTGAGATAACAAGTTATCTTGAATTCCTTTCAGTAAAGTTCTGAAATCTAAATACTGTTGACATTCAAATGGAACCAAAACTATTGTGTGTTTAGTTTTAGTGTTGGATATACTCTCTTGTCTGAAATGTGATTTGATTTTACACATTGTTGCACGCTTGATCAGGTTTGTTATCATATGACTTTCACAAAAGTTTCAATTTCAAATATCAGGTGCAAGGCTATTAATTTCAGTTATGACTTATTGAGGCCCCTAAATATTAGTTATAACTTAAATGTTTGTTTATGAAAAGGTTTTATTAAGATGCGTCAGTTTTTGTGGAATGAATAGAGATTGTGAATGCTATATGCATGCAATGAATTATGTGAAAAATATTACATAACAATTTGCTTTTGAACGCAATGAATTTGAGCCAAAAACTCTTAAGATAACTAGACCCAATTGAAAGTAAAGACTTTTCAAATAAATAAGTTTAGGGAATTGTGAAGCACTGATGCTTATAGTAAATTTTGTATAATATCTTTTGTTATTGTAATGCTCTGATAAGTTGTAGATGATGACCTACAATTAACACTTCATAGAGTCTTTATAATGATAATGGGTGAATAAAATTTCAATTATCATAACGATAAAATACTAATTACTTCTGTATCTTAACTTGCCTTAGGTTATACTAACTGATTATTTACTAGTAAATCTGGGGTGAATATATATATTTAATTTGACAAAGATAAATATGTTTTTATTTTAGAGATCTTGGTTGACAGTATAATCAATTCATACCATGTTATTTCCTTCTGGTGACAGCAAATTTGGTTTAAACTTAAACGCTATAATTTGTTTAGTGTTGAGGGTTCAATCCTGGCATAAGTCGAGATGATACCTTCAGATTTTTTACTATAATCTGCAATCAAATCAAACTTTTGTATTATGAGAATGATACTTTTTTTAATGTCAATTCCAGGATTATTGAGATTATTCTATTCATAAAATTATATAGGTCTCTCTTGGGCCCAATATCATTTCAATGTAAAGTAAAACTGAACTCAAAACCTGAACTAAGTATATGAAATGGCTTTTGAAATGGCAGGTCTGTTGTGTTATCTCCATTATCAGAATTTAGTGTTATTCAGTTATTCAGTTCGATTTGCTTATCTTTTGTTTATGTACATGCAATTTCAATACATGTAATGACGGTAGAGTGGAAAGATACAGATTGATTTTATCTTTAAATGAGACAAACCAATGTTAAATATAGATTTTAAACACTGGGTTTCTTAATTCCATTTAAATTGATTTCTATTCCAACTCTTTAATTGATTGTTGAAAGGTTTTCTAGAATGTGCTGATCATAGGTTTTAATTGCATCATTCCAATTTTCAGTCACGTCTGTTGGTGCTGTCTGTACTGAAATGCTGCAGTGCGTATGACATCACTATCACAATTTAAAGTAATTGTTTTGATGACGTCATTTAATGCTTAAATTTGTTGTTAGATGGTGATGAGAACATAGTCTCATAAAAGGCCTGGCCAAGGTCACAAAATAAAGATTTATGATAAAACAAGGTGCAAGTTAAAGGTTAAGAAAATTAGATTCATTAACTATCATGGATGTCTCTCAATTACAATATTTGGCTGTATCATTTCTTTAACTGAAGTATCTGTCAAAAATATAAGAATCAATGTTCTTTGGTGGAAGTAGCATATCCACAGATGTCTAATTGGAATGTTGGAAATGAATGCTATCAGTGTCCATGATACACATAAGTTTTGAAAACCTCTACCAATCCCTTTAAAAAGAAACAGATAGCTGATAATGGAATCATTTACCTTTACCATTTTTTTCAATGTCAGGTTTTATTGGTTTATGTTTTAGTCTTTAGTTGACAACCTGAGTATTATTGTGTAAAACTGGGTTTAAAATGTTTACTGTATGCTCGTTGTTTGTTTGTCTTGTGTTCAACCTGCAGATCAACATCATTGTAATAAGTACAACGTGGGCACTTGATGTTGTAGTAAAACACGTTTGACTTTCTGCTGATTTACATATCTTATTGTTTTGAGACCTCAGTTGAAATTATCATGAATAACAGTTTATAGGTAAGATTGTTTTCCGATGCCAATTTTGTCTTACGACACAAAAGGATTAAGAAGACATTTGGGAAATATGTAAATTAATTTTATGTGAAGATTTCTAATGGATTTTGTATTGTTGAGTATATGTTAGCAGCTTGTGTTAATATCTAGAAGGAAACAATGTACAGATGAAATGATTTGCTTAATGGGGACAATCAGTGCCATGTAGTGTGCATTAAGGGAAATAAAATGAAGAGAGGTTTCAGGTTTAATGTTGTCCAACTGTTGAGGGATCACGAGCAACCTGGCAACTCAGTGGAAAATGCAAGTTACTGGCTGGACACTTGCTGAGGCTCTACACCTGCTTCCGACAAGCAACAGCTCCTATCTATTAGTATTACATTGTTGATAAGAATCAATGTAATGTAACTTGCACTTCACGAAACAAAAGCCCTTCTAATGTAAGCAAATATCTAATAATCATCTGCAAGCAATAAATCAATGATACACATAATAGCAAGTGATATTTTAAAATTTAATGTAAAATTATATTGTAAACTATTTACAATAACAAAATATTTTCACTGTTAAAATAGTGCTTATTAATACGTAAATTGTAGAGCGATATAGAAATATTAAAACAGAACCTAAAACATGCTGTTACTCACAGTTTCACACTGTGCGATCTTCATTGGAGATAAATATTAATTGTCCTTTTTGTTTCTAACAGTGTCTCTTTTTAAATTTGGTTTAGAGATTATGTTTTGAAAATTTATTACAGAATTCTAGTTTTAATTAGATAATTGTTAAATCGTTTACAAAAAAGTAAAGCAGAATTGTAGTACCGTACTAATTACATGCTTGAGGGACTATTTATAAAAAAACACTACAATTAACTAAGAGCTCTCTTTCTTCATCAGAGTATAATTTTATCTATTTGTATAGAGTCTGATGTTTTTCTAAAGCTTTTTATAGATGTAATAGATGATAATACTCTATATAATCAATCATCTTTGGTCATATGATTGGTTGACATGCTGAGAAACTTTATTTCTCACCAAAATAAGCTTTATTTTGCTTAGATTTCATAGACTAAGTATTGAAATTAATCATATATAGGTACCTAGTAAAGACAGCTGACTCAATGAAGCTATGTGAGTATGTGGTAATAGTTTTATGATTAATACAACAACGTTATTGATGTTTTATGATAATACATTGACTCATTGATTGGAAAAAATAAAAACTTATTTATATCTATTGTGGATAGTCAAGTAAACAGGACAGCTTTTAGAAAATGAGTAAGTTTTGAATTCAGTGTTTATTTCTTGAGAAAAATTTTACTTAACAATTCAAGGTCCTTTTGTCTTATTCATCAACACCTATTATTATGATTGAAATTTCAACAAGTTATGGTATACATGGAATATATCCTGCTATACCAACTCTATTACAAAATGAAAATGAGTCTTGATTTGACTTCTGAGGTCTGGAAGAAACAAATTTTAATAAATCTGATCGATTGGAGATAGAATTCGATACAGAAGTGGTTTTGCCTATACTCAATCTCTGTATTGATAGGCTTCAACTTTATGCCTTTGGAATGTAAAACTGACATAAGGGGTAGTGATCAGAAATCAGGTTCCTTTCTGATACAGATACCGTACATGATATTTAACTATGTTATCTATGACCACGCAACAACATTTAGGCAACTATCCCTTTAATTAATGATTTCTTCTCAAGTACAGAGTCTTAATTAGCCCACATAGTGCAGAAAAGTAGACCGTAAAACTCCATTCATTTCATTTCATTTTCAAGGGCAGAGAGTTATAGAATTACCAAATTGTGTCATGTGAATAAAAAACAGATTTATAAAACAGGTAGAACTAGCAATTTTAACAGCTAAAACAATGGCATTAGGCCATCATATATATGTTTATTGTTTTATATCATGCTCTATCTCTTCTTACACACTATATTTATTAACTTCAGATTTCTACCCTAGATAATCTAATAAGTAATTGTAAAGTGATATTCAGATCTTGTGACTTGAATTCCCAATAGTGCCATATTCCACATTTTTTATCAGACTTACTGTCTGGGTTATATAGAATATAGAGATCTCTAGAAATAAAAACCAGAAAGGGTCCATATTGATTTCTGCTTGAAATTGTCTGAAAAGGTTTTTAATTGATATTGTATCATAGAGAAGTGGTAAAAGAATTTTAACAGATCGTTATCTGAGAGTCAATTTTTTTACAACTTCAAACACGTTTTACTAACTAGTTTATGTTGAATTTTAAATTTCAGAGATTTTCTTTCCAGTTTTATTGATTGGTGAATTCTATTATCTAATGGTTCTTAGTGTAATTTGAAAAGTGTTCCTCTTAGAATTAGGATATATCGTTCAGCAAAGTCTAAATGTGGTCAGTCATTAAGGTGTATTAAGCATATTCTGTCCATACGTGTCTTTGAAAATATTTGCAAAAGCAATAGTAATTCAAAAGGTGTAATTTTGATTGGAAGTTATTGTGTTTATTGGAAATGTTCCTTGCTGGGTTTTTAGACGCTGGTTTTCAAATTTACTTAAGGAATTGATCTAGATATAAATCGTTGTTATAGATTTATTGAGCCAGGATGTTAACATTGTGTAAGCTTATATGAGCAAATCTACTTCACCATATATTCATAATGTAACTTTGACTATGCTTTTCTGAAGATAAGTTTTATATTACTTTGATCAATTGAAAGTAGTTTTGTGCTCAACTGTCAATATTTAGTTGTACTGCAATGCAAATATTGGCATGAAAATGGACACTACCATATTGTATGACAATTTAGATTATCAAGGATCTTCCTAGGTGAAATTTCTTGGCTTTGGGTTTCCCTTATTATCTGTAATCAATTACAACTTCGTCAACTGGAATGATGAGGAAACAATGACACACTATTCAAGTTTACCAGATTTTCATACACTGACTGAGATAACTACAACCATTATTTGATGAAAACAAGCAAATGACACCAAGATGTGTCGTGGCTGTTACAAACTTTGTCTTATACCTTTTCTGCAATAATCACCTTTCTTGTATCACATATGTTTGTAAGTGCAGCGTTTTGGTTGGATTTTACATTTGTGAATACAGCCTATCAGTGTCCTTGTAAGAAAGTCTTTAGACAATAAGCTTAATGTTTATAGAAGATGATCTGTCAAGGGCTACAATTTGCTTTTTTTTTGCAGGTGTATAATTGAATCCAATCACTTCATTCTGTGATACAAGAAAGCTGACTATTGCAGTTAAGGTATAAGATGAAGTTTGAAATAGATTGATGATTTGAAGATATGAACTTCAGTACATGATTAGTATTATCGTAGGGTGTATTTAGATAATTTTAATTTTATATTACAGAAATAGAGGATGATGATAAACCATCACAAGCCTTACAGTTAGGATTTGAATTAGCATTGAAAGATCGTGATGCTGTTTTAAGAGAGAAAGCTAAAGCGAGTGAAGAAAGAGACAATGCTATACGACAGTTACAACAAGTTAAATCAGAACGGGACCAAGCTATTAATAGTCTAGAAAATTTAACTGGTAAACCTGCCAAACTGAGCAATACGTAAGTATCTATGTGCCATTGTGTCAAATATCTGGATTATTTTGTCAAATTTTGAATTTTTTCATTTATAAACACACCTAGATATGATAATTTACACTCTCAGTGCATTATTTTCTTCAATTGATATGTAAAATTTTTTATTATTTGTAAAAGCTGCCCCTTTTTATTTATCACTTGAGTTAACAAATGTTTGTCAATTGGTTTCCTGTGAAATAAAATGAAAGTAGTTGGCTTTAGATGTGTATTTGAATGTAAAAAGAATTTCATTTACATGAGAATGGCAAATTCATCTAGGAGTTGTTAAATGGAGTTGTGTCCCTTTAATGGAAAAATGAAATATATTTTCACCAACACTATTTGTTCAGTGTTGATATATGAAAACATGTTTGAAAATAAAAACTATTTTGAATAATTCAGAATTCAAAAATAGTCTTGACTTTGGCACACAACCTAAAAATGTAGCCTACAGGCTTTAACCTCTGAAGTAATTTATTTGAAACAGTGGTGTATTTAGGCGGTAAAAAAATGAAAAATTGATTCTTTCACTTCCAAAATCTTGTTAGATGTATTCTCCTGCTTCCCACATTAGACAATCTTTCAGAGGGAGCCCCCCTAACCTCCTACTATAACTAGTGACCTCTAAAATCCACAAAGAGATAATGGGGCTTGCCAGGACTGTACGTGTAAGATCAAGGCTTGTATGCAAAAAAGCTTACACAATTTTTAAATCATTGCTGATGTTGACTTATTTGATTTCTGTTTTAGGAAAAAATTTGAAGAAAGTCCAACATTAAAGAGATCAAATTCCCCGAGTATAAAAGCTCAAGCTAGATCTAACAGTATGGAGAGTGAGAGTGGTGAAGTGGAAGAGGTAAGAATATATTTAACATTTTCTACTGTTGTATGTTTACATACTTATTCAGTCAATGGTGTCAGATTATCAGATTAGAGAATAGCCCAGATCCTGTGCAAGGAAGTAACTTTTGCCAGGAAAGTGGCATTCAATTTCAAATTGTGTTTGGATATTAACTTATACAGCCTGCAGCACATTGGTCTTGGTTTATTGTCTCATCCGAACAACTAGACACTTTTTCCATGTCGGCACCTCCATCCTGCATTAGGGGGCCACTGGGTTGAAAAAATCCAAAGGTATTATCTTGAAGCCTAATTCTTCAGGTTTGTGAGCAGACTGTGACTTGAGTGAACACCATAATTTTGTTAATCAATCAATGAATATAAGAACTATCAGTTCAAATAGTTTCTCGTAAGACACATTGTACAGCAGATCTTAAAGTAAAGTACTATGATTGTTATATAATGCCTTGACCTTATGATACTATGTGATATCTTTCACTATATCTCACACTAATATTCAAACTGATAAATACCTTTTAAACTCTCATTATCATAATATAACTATATAATAAAAATTATTTACAATACTAAAGGTATTAAATCCTGTATATTAAGATAAAGTACATTTAAAGGGTTTGTTTGGGCTAGTATGAAAATGTAGGAGCTGCAAGATATTTCTCCCATTGCACATAATTTTTAAGATTTTTGCATTATCTTTACTTATAAAATTTTTCTTTCAAACTATGATTTAAATATTTGCTCTCAACTTTCTGGACTAATTTCTTTGGTTGAAGAAAAAGGGTTTTAAATTTGAAACTCAAAATTTGTAGGGAGCTGATACCCTTTAACTAAGAGTAAAGTAATACTGATGATATCATTTGTTATTTACGATTACTTGTTATTGTTGGCTAACATTATTTATTATTGTTAGTTGTATTATTTATTATTCTATTATATTTCAAGTTATATTGTGTCACGCCACTGAAGGTAAGACTCAGACTAATTCAAGTTTTGTTTTGTATTTGGGTTAAGGTTTCTGGAATGCCATTTTGTGTTTTTTTCTTTATTGGCTGTATTGGTTAAGGTTATGCAATGCTACAAAGATTTGCTTTAATTGTTGAATATAATTTGAAAAATTATTCTAGAAATTGATCCTAACTCACACTTGTTCCTGATTTAATAACATTTGAATTGAACTAGCAGACTTATTTTTGAATGAAAAATGATAAGATTTTAATACCCACTCCCTTTTAATACCCCTACCCATTTCCCTTTTAATACCCCTCCCCATTTCCCTTTTAATACCCCTCTCCAGTTCCCTTTTAATACCCCTCCCCATTTCCCTTTTAATACCCCTCCCCATTTCCCTTTTAATATCCCTCTCCAGTTCCCTTTTAATACCCCTTCCCATTTCCCTTTTAATACCCCTCCCCATTTCCCTTTTAATATCCCTCTCCAGTTTCCTTTTAATACCCCTCCCCATTTCCCTTTTAATACCCCTCCCCATTTCCCTTTTAATATCCCTCTCCAGTTTCCTTTTAATACCCCTCCCCATTTCCCTTTTAATACCCCTCCCCATTTCCCTTTTAATATCCCTCCCAATTTCTCTTGTTCAAGGTTATATAAGGCAAGTATAATATATACAAGAATGTGGTTATAGTTGTTTTTTTTCTATTGACTTTCTTTATTCATGACATGTCTGACTGAATTTATACAAAAATAATAGGTACCAGAATTCAAAATTCCCCAAGGCACAGGAATCTGTCATCTGATTTCTTTACTTCAGAATGACAATTAACTGTCTGATAGAGTATTGAGAATTTATTTAAGGAATGAAGGTGTAACTTTTACCACCTAAATGTGATATAAATGTTAGGTATTTAAGATATGATGTTATTTCATAGACTAATTAATGAGATATCATTAACACGTTAATTAGCAATTAAACACTCACTTTGATAGGTATTCAGATAACTCAATGATAGACTTGTACCAAATGATGATAAACTTATATCTTACTCTTAGCAAAGTTTAGCCAGTTATGAACACAGTATTAGAAACAGGAAATAGAATAAAATCAAGATTTACGTCTACTTGATTTCTATTTCCAATTGTCAGGGATTTTCAGATAGCAGTATCATTCACCATACAAGGATCCTGTCGACTGGCCCTCTGCCTAACCTTTAATCTTTCTCAGATATTTCAAACCTATTTTTAGTTATGTCATTTGGAATATGAAAGAAAAGAAAGGTCATCAAGTGTTCATTCTGACTGAAACTAGAACCCATGACCAAGCAAAGGATGTCAACTAAAAATTCCAACATTCTGTCCTTAAACATGATCCGATTAAGCTGTATCTGAATTGAGCAACTTTCAAATAATGAAAATATCAAGGTCAGATGAAGGACATTTGTTGTCTGCTAAAAGATCTAAAAAAAATTACTTAGCAGGTAGATGTGAGATTATTTTGATTGGTACAGACATAGTTTGTCTTCAATGACATTGACCAGAAAATATGATACATATCTTACCTACATCAGATAAATTTTATTTATATAAATTCTTAAAGCTTACTGTATCTAATTTCATTAAAACTGAAACATAAGGCAAATTATGCAGACCATCATATTTCAATTCTAGATAAAAAAAAAAATTGTATTTATTAAAGGAAAAGATTCACATAAATTTTAACATCATGTTGTATTTGATCCAAAGAAAATTTGCTAAAAAGGCAGAACATTATAGCACCAAATGGATAATGCAAATGCATTTGAAATTAAGTATCTGCTACAGTGAGACTATATGTCTTCTGCAGGTTCATCAGACTTTAATGATTAAAGTACCATAAACTTGTGTGCATGTCAGGTGATCAGGAATATCTATGCCATTTTTAGATAAGCGTCTGCTACAGTGACACTATATGTCTTCATGTTCATCAGACTTTAATGATTAAAGTAACATAATCTTATGTTTATCATTCAATATTAAAAGCACTTCAGATTAAGACATTATTTTACACATTCCCTTAAATCATAAATCACCTTAAATTTTTGACAGGAAAAGTTACACTAAATTTTGCAACTGTCAAGATTTGTTCAGCTCTAGTGCATTCTAGAATGTAAATGACCTTTATTAGAGGTAATGGTGTAGACAGTAATAGCTTAGCTTATATTTGGGGACCTGAAATCACAACTGAAGGAAGGACATATCAACCAAGTGACAGATTGTCTCAAACTGAAATGTCATGTCACTTATCAACACTGTGTATTATGTAAAGTAGCTATCAGTTTGCTGAAAACTTAATTCTGACTCGGAAAAATATTAAACGTCATTTATATGCTGATTTTGAATGTTTGTTAAAATTGTACAAGGTTGAGCCTATCAAGTAAGTGTGTTAATTTTAACAATAATACATTTTATTATCAATTATTTGGGTTTTTAAGATGGGGGGTATTCAAAGTTTATATTATTGTAGGCCTATTTCCTTTTTTGTTGAGTTCTTTGATCAGTCTTCATAAACTTAAAAGTTTGTAAAATTGCTTTACATCTGTTTTGATGGTGGTATACATGTCTATCCAACCATCTTGACAATGTCAAACTATTACGAACTTCATACTTATACCTTGACTGCAATAGTCATTATTGTTATATCAAAGAATACAGTGATTTCAAGGTATAAGTATTTGCAAAGGATGTAGCCCAAACTAACACAACCTTTTTTCATGCTAGACTTTGACATGCAGCACTGACTAGTAGAAACAATAGGCTGAAACACCTATACACATCCCAAGCCACGCCTTGATTAAACGCAAGGTTTGTGAGAAAGTGCTTAGTCCGCAGAGCCATTTTATGAAAAAAGACTCTGACTGGTTGTTTGAAACAACTAGTTTCTGAGGCTGAAATAAAAAAAACAAGTACTACTGTTCCGAACATCAAATCTCATAATCCAAAATAACAGTTTGGCAATACATTGGTTGTAGTTAATGAACTATTCATGTGAGGAATTATACTGATTATAAGTTACAGAATTTTGAAAATAAATCAAATCAGAAGATAATTGTGCATGCATTGCAATTTTATTGCTCATGAAATAACAGTCAAAGAGAGTTGAGATTCTGTGATATTCTCTTACAATACTATCTATTGTTTAATTAAACAGATAACTCTCAAACATTTCTAGGTCACAGGTCATACATGGTTTAAATTTATTACAAATATCATAGAGTTGATGAATTATATCATAACAAAATATCATACAAAATGTACTTAATTGACCATTGCAATTTGAAAGATATGTAATTTGGTGTATTTAGGCCAAATTTCTTCTGTATTATTTTAATCTGAATAAGACTCATATCGTTAATTAGAACAATGGACTCTACCCATTAATTAACTAAATGTAGTTTGATATTGGTACAGTTTTAATTAGTTTAAAATTCAAGAGTCCACCCTGTTTATCAGATACCAACAATTGGACACTTTTATGGTCAGACAATTGCTAGTGCATGTCCAGTAATACTGGTCAGGGAAAGATTTGTCTTGTAGCTGGAGAATGTGGGATGTTGTTATTATTTCAATTTGAATGTTAACAAGTTGTTATTACTGCTCACTATTATCCAGTTACATTGTAAGACATGCTTGTGATAGTTTATCATCTGGATACCTGGGGAAATTGCAGAGATCAGTCCAAGAAAGTTGAAAATCCAGACTTTGATGTGATGCTTTTGTGAAACTCAGAAATATATGTGAAGAGAATAACAGAAGCCTGTATTACACCTTTATAGGTTTCCAAGGATCTATAAATAAGGAACTTTTCTGACTTTGTCTGGTTCATAGCAAATTATTATATCACATGGATTATTTACTACTTGTTTCTGATGTAAGATCATACAAACTTTGAAATTGCCATCAAAATTCCATTGTTGTTCACATAACAAGGACAGTTATAGTTGGTTTTAATTGTTTTAACAACTTTGAAAGTTGGTAATTGAAGAATTGTGCAGTTTATTATACAGTTTTATCAGATAAGTTGACATTTTGGGAGAAAACAATTGAAATTGAGGCCAAGGTTGTTGATGTAGAATTGTCAAAATGAGAAGAGGTCATTATAGAAGGGGAGGCCGTCCTGTCAGACATCATAGTCGATCTCGTTCTTATCCAGTTGTGTATTCTACTAGATTATTGAGATATCCCAGAATACCTGTTTCACAACGTCTTTTGGTTCCTAAGGTAAGTTGTATTCTTTTTCAGTGATTTATTTGCAGGACCAATGCCATAAAACGAATAATGGTGTGTTTGCGTACACTTCAGAGCCAAAGATGTAATTTAACATTGAAAGGAAAAATGAAATGAAAGGAGTTTTACATTCTGCTTTTCTGCCAATGAAGACAGGCAATGCCATGCAGGGTACAATGAGGGAAGTTTTGCCAGAACAGCAGCATTAGCCTGCTCTTTTTTGATTTCCAACTATCAAGGGATCTTTAACATGCACAGCCTGTAGCACATAGGTCCCATCCGAATGACTACACATGTTTTCCATGTCAGCCCCTCATACCTGCATCACTGATAGGTGGAAACTTGGTTGAAAAATCTGAATGTATTATCTCGACCTATGCTGGGATTGAACCATCTACCTTCAGGTTAGCGAGCAAGTGTCAAACTCACTGAGCCTCTGCAGCTCTCAATTTAACATTGAAAATGTTAATTAGAATTCATTGTAATCTTTGAAGAATTATTTTGTCAGTTTATCTTCACTAAATCTTCGAACATAAAGAGAACTTTTCTTTGAATTTGCATAAAAATAGCTTTATGAAAAAAGATTCAATGGAGCTAACACATACTATCAATTTTATAGTGCAGCAATTAATTTGCATATATATTTGTTTGATTTACCTGCTTTTGACAGTTAATGCATCTTCAATTTTTGCAAGTTAGCAAGTGTATTTGATTTAGAGTTATATGCTAGTTAAATTTGAATGAATATCTAATAAGTAAATGTAAACCCTTAGACACTTTACATGCTTTCTTTATTACTTATGACTAACTTTGTCAACTTTTAACTTAGATTTACTCTAGAGATACCACACGGTTTTCCTTTCTTCTTTCACCTTTGACCTTTATAATAAACATTTAAGGAATTTGAAGCTCATGACAAAAGTTGTATTAATGAGAGAGAGAGGGGGCTGGTAACAGTTTATTTTATTGTAAGGTCACACTAGACTTAACTGTCATGTTGGGGCACTGTTGTGATATTTATCAATAGATAGGTATAACAACCAATATCTATCTTTAAATACACACTGCTATATCTATTATTCAACGGACTATACTACTATAGAATATTGAAAACTGATTGTTCGGGAATGTTTCACTTGAAAAGAGAGAGTGGAGTGGTTTATGTCGATGTTAATTTCGAAAAGATAATAAAGTTGAAATTGGAAAGTGTACTGCAATCAACTTACTCGAGGGCTTGTGTCTTATCTACATAAAAATTGATCAAGTTTTTCAGCGTCACATGTTTGCTATTCTCTTAAAAACACAGTTTGTATTGACGTAGGATAAGGAAACTTTGCGGGAAATTGGAGAGTTGCGTGTAAAAAAAAGATCTGGACATCAATTAATGGATATTGACACATTGATTTTTGATACAGAGTTGTTTAACTGTTTGTTTACTTGATATATATATGGTATATAACACATCCTGTAGTTGTTTTTTTACCTCCAATTCTGAATCGAAGAGTTCTTCATGGTTTTTACTCTGGAGTCAATTATTGAGAATTGAGAATGATTATTGTTGCAGAAAATCCTTTAACGCCTGAAAAGTAGTATTAATTGCAGGCTACCTATGGGAAAACAATGTTTTCAATCATAGATCTACCTATGGGAAAAAAGTATTGATATATTGAAAATGATATTGTACGAAAAATAGGCTTGGTATACCGAGGACTCAAATGGGAAAAAGATTGTCATAAGTAAGGACAAGTCAATATAATATTAATTGGTTGTATATTAAAGTGATATTGTAATTTTTGTTAGAAAAGATTATTCAGGGTGGACTAGACTATACAGGGACGTACATATATTACAATACTGGTATATCTATATAGACACTGAGAGATAATATGATGACAATACGTCACTCATAACATAAACAACTCACAGGTAGATGGGAGTGAAAAGGAATGCTTGTCACGGACAAGTTTTGACAGTCTCAGTGATTCATTAAGAAGAGATAAGTAAGATATTTGAGGTGTAATGGAGTGTATCGAGTGTATATGAAAGGTTATGATAGTGAACTAGACACCTGATTGAATGTTAGTTATTTGACTAGTTATGTAATAGAGTATTTACCTTAGTTTACGTTAAACGACCACTCTACTATCTGTCATGGACATCTTTATTTTATAGTACTTATTCTCTTATTGTGTTCATTATAACCTATACAAATTATGCAACGAGATCAGAGGATATTTTCACGTAGTTTGAATGATCTGGGACCAACTAAAAATACCAATTTACATTGGAACAGTATTAATAACCTTGATGAAGCGGTAAGTCTTTGCAAATTTTACTTGAATGCAAATATCACCTGATTTCAAATTTGGTCTAAGTCGGCCTATATTTGGTTCAGTTTGTAAATCTATAGTGACTCAACTGTAGTACTTACTTAGTTAAACGTGTGCAAGATTGCTAGATGAATGCTCTCTTCCCTTCGGCAATAGTTGAAGTTGAAAAATATGGATTTGAAATATGACAAATTGCATGACCTCTCTATAATGTCATGTCACATATTTTAAGGGATTGTAAAGAGGTTTTATAAATTTTGTATGTGTATCGGGAACAAGGATA